GCACACGCACCTGCAATCCCAGCACTCTGCAAGGCAAGGCAGGGGAATCACTGTGAGTTTGAGGCCAGCCTGAGCTACCTAGTTCATAGGTACATAGTGAGACCCTGTCTCAAAAAGCAAAACAAAAAAAGACTCCTTTATTTATTATTCTCCTTAAGAAATGGTTACTCAGGAGGCTATTGCAAGTTTGAGCCCAGCCTGGTAAACTTAGCAAGATCCTATCTCAAAAAAAAAAAATTTTTTTTTTTTTGGTACCAGGGATTGAACTTGGGTCCTTGTGCTTGCGAGGCAGGTAGCAGAACCACTGAGCTAATCCCTGGCCCTCAAAAATTTTTAGAAAGGAGTGCTACGAATATAGCTCAGGGTGGAGTCCCTGGGTTCAATCCCTAGTAACTGCAAAGGAAAGAAAATCTAAATTCCAGCCTTTTTGCTTAGAATTAAATGTTTTCTAGGGAAAAGAGAGAGGAGTAGCGAACAAGGTAAGTCTCTCCAGACTGGAATCTCTTTCCTGCTCAGACAGCTACCAGCTATGCGACCTTGATCACCAGTCAGTTTTCTGAGCTTTTTCTCAGCTTGGGGAGGTTGAACAAGCTGGCAGCAGCCCGATGGGGCCCATCCAAGCCTGTGTGGTCAGTGTTCATGGCAGCTGAGCATGGCCAGTGCTGGGTGGTTGGGCATTGGAGATACTGCTTCCCATAAAGGTAGTATACAGGCTACATTCAACCCACTCTGTCGTGTCTGCTCTGATAAAGGTCTCGCTCAGAGTGACAAGAGACCATTTCAGAACAGCATCAGAACAGGTGGCCTGTGTGGTCTCAGTTGTTCCTGCACTGGGACATGGGGATAACATGAAAATGTATCCTATGCCCGGGCAGCGTTTTGATGAGGGTAGGACTCCCAGATCTGCAGCAGGCACCAGCTGAGGTTCAGGGTGAAGGCCCTGCCTGTGGTGCTATCTGGCCATGACCCTTTCCCACCCCACTTGGCTGACTGCTTCCCCGAGTGCCTCTGGAACTCTGCACTCTCTCAGGCTTCATTGCAAAGCTGCCACACCACCAACACATGAGCTGACTCTTCTCCGTTTGAAAATAGTCTGGATCCATAGAATAAATGGCACTGACTGCATGGTGAGTTAGGGTTCTTTCGTTCACAAGTGTTCATACCCTTGAAGCCTGAGAGATAGGACAAAAGCTGCAGGGCAGGTGGGTTTGCTCTTCCTGTGCTCCAAGACATGGAAAGTGAAGCACAGTAGTGTGGGAGAATCACAGCTGTGCACCTAGCCCTGCCTGCCTCTTTGGGAGAATCAAGTCCTCTCAGAGGCTTCTCCTTCTGTGCCTTGCATTTCAATAAAGGAAGGTCACAGCTCTGTGGGAAGGTTGCTTCCTTTTTGCCACCTCTTGATTGGGTGCACGTTTTCTTGGCAAGTGTGCTGCACACTCCTGACTCCACATGATGAACTTTACCTGTGAGGCTTTTGAAAAGCCCCTCCAGTCTTAGTCCTTTTTGAAGAGTCTGGCTGTTATCAGGAATCCCTAGCCCCATTCTGCTAAAGGTGCCTTTCACCCAAAGGTCTCACACTCTGACATCTTAAACTGGGATTTGCCATGACTCCAGCTGTCTCCCTCTTGATCTGCATGGAACCTCCACTTTGGTTGGTTTGTTGTTACACTACGTAGTTGAGGCTGGGCTTGAACCCACTATATAGCCGAGGCTATCCTCAGACTTGCGGTGATCCTCCTGCCTCAGCCTCCCAAGTGCTGAGATTACAGGTGTGCAACACCATGCCTGGCTGGAACCTCATCTTTAAAAGCTTCCTGGGCCGGGGATGTAGTTCAGTGGCACTGTGCCTGCCTCACAAGTGCAAGGTCCTGAGTTAGATCCCTGGTAAAAGAAAAAAAAAAAAAAAAAAAAAAAAAAAGCCTCCTGTACTGAGCACGGTTGGTCTCATTAATGAGCCACTTGCCCTGGCTCGCACCTGTGCAGGTACACGTACCTATGTATGTAGGCATGTACACGTGTCACCCCTCAGTGGCCTCACAGCAGACCTTCATTAATGTCTCACTGGTCATAGGTGTAGGTGACCTGGAAAGTATTCAGCATTTCCAGACTTTATTGTGAAAGTCAGGCTGGGAGAAGGGGAATTAGACCTAGATGATAGGGCAGCCAGCCAGTATACCTGGCATATTTGGTCTTTGCCATAACCAACAGCCTTTTCCCCTTTGATATTTAAAATTGTCCCAGAAAAAGTGGGTGGGTTTAGAGATGAAACAAGATGGGCCCCATGTTGGTAACCGTTGAAGCTGTAAATGTATTTGGTCCATTATACATGTTAAAAATTGTCCCAGAAAAAAATGAGAACCGAGACCTGTCATGTAAAGGTACGAGATCCCAATGATGAGTGTAACTGTACTGTATACCTAAAATGTACCAATAAACTCAATGAGGAAAATAGAAAATAAAACAATAAAAATCGTCCCAGAGAGACAAAATTGAGCTCTGCAAGAAAGGACTTTGAAGTGCTCAGAGCAGGGCCAAGAAAGCGTGGAAGTGGCAGGAATGTAGGAGAGGGTATCCCTGGCCTAGGAAGGCCCTGTCTGTCTCCTGAGATCCTATGCCTATTCTGGCAACTCAGAAAGCGAGCTTTGCATATTCTGTTACTTCATCTTCCCAAACTTTGCCCCTCTGATCCCTTCTGTTCGCTCCTTACTGTGGTGGATCAAATTCAAGGAACAGAGGAATTGGCCAGCAAGACAGGCCCCTGCATTGGGCATGAGCAGCTGTTTTCTACATGAGCAGCTGTTTCTTGTAGGTATGAACCAGCGCCAGGAGCCTTCTCAGCCCTTGCATGGCCATCACAGGCGGCTGAGCACTGTGGCTGCAGAATGCAGTTCCTGGTACCAGGCAGAGACCAGCAGATGGACATCCGTGGAATGCACTTCGGGCATGGGGGCACCCTCGGGCCTTCCTCTTGGTCATCTGGGCTACTGCCTGCGCGTGCCAGTGCTCTTGGTAGGCCTGGCCTCAGCTCCATGGACCCCAACCCCATCTTGCCTCACTTTCAGATGCCTGCCCTTCTCCACTTGGCCCACCTGGACCCAGGGCTGCTGGTTAAAGTGTGTTTATCTCCTTCACTCAAGAGTCACTTTTTTGGGGCGGGGGGTTTAGCTCAGTGGTTCTGCCGCCTGCCTTGCCAGCACAAGGACTTGAGTTCTATCCCTGGTACCAAAAGAAGAAAAAGTCACCTTTTTGGAGGCTGGGGATATGGTCAGCGGTAGAGGCAATGCTTAGCCTGTGCAAGGCCCTTGGTTTCATCACCAGTGCTGTTTAAAAAAAAAAATGACCTGTTTATCAGATCTTGTTTGAACCGTGGCAGACTGCCCAGCCCACATTTGTGAGAACAAGGGAATGTTATTTTATCTAGCTCTTCACATTCACATTTAGTGAAAACTGCCTCCCAACGGAAAAGATGTCTTTATCCAGGAGTCAGGAATTGTCGAGGAAATGTTTGCAGGAAGTGTGAAGTGGAGAGAATGCGTCAATGCTCGGGCAGATTAGCAGCCTTTCGCCAGGGCCAGTGTTCGGCCTCGCCATGGCCTGAGTGACTGTGCGCCAGTCCAAGGTCACCTCTCAGCTGTCTTGCAGAGTCCAGGGACTCGTCAGGAGTTGAGTTTCCTGGCCTTGTCCTGACCGACAGTCCTATTTCTATGGCCCAGTTGAGTGTATCAGGTTTCCAGGGCATCTGGTACCTTCTCATTACTGAAGAAACTGCCCTAAAACAGTGTAAGGTCAAAGAACAGGACAAGCCTCTCCCGATGCTCCACTCCCCTGTGTCCTGAGGAACAAAGTGCTCTAATTAGGAACTCTGCACAAGGCCTCTCGAGGGGCTGAGAAGGGACATGTTAAGAACAACCTGGAGTGAGCTCCACACTGTCAGAGCTAATGAGGAGGAAGTGGGCTGAGGGCCTGGCAGATTCTTCCCCTGGGGTTTACCTTCATGGAACTGGAGGACCCAGCAGATCAGCCGAGTAGCTGGCACCACGGGAGGACAAGGGGCACTGCTGGGGAGAAGTGGGACAGTGCTGCTTCTCTGTCCAGGAAGGTGACAGACCCCAGGTGCTGTGCTACCTCGAGGCACCAGCAGAGGAGAGGGGGTGTGGGCGGTGTGGCGTGGTGTGTGTGGTTGGTTGGTGTGGTCTGGTGGGGCCTGGTGCAAAGGGCCCAGAGCAGGTTTCCAGCATACTTCTGCCTTGGAGTGAGTCCTGCGTGAGAGCTAGAAGCGTTCTGGCATGTTGGTAACACTCAGGGCACAGAACTGAACGAACAGGAAGTGGTGTGAGGATGGTGGGCTTGTCACATCATCAAGACCCATGGCCCATTTTCCAGAGGAGAAAACGGCACAAATGTAGGGCACTACGTGGAAGGGCAGGATGGAAAGCCTTCCCACGCCTTCGGGCTCCACCACTGTGAGCGGCTCC